TTTTTTGGCTATTTTTTTTTTAAATTATTACTACCATCGACGATAAAAAGTTCAAAGATTTGACGTTTATCGATGACGTCACATATCCCGGAACGAAATCTTCCGACGTTCAATCGATAAAATTCCGGTTAGAGATTATATGACGTAGTATTGTAAACATTTGTAGGTTTGTTATCGTTTCTGGCCAATTCGGTCGATGTTATATAATAAATAAAATAAAATACGAATATTTAATAAAATCATAAATAATGGATCGTATAGAAGATGTAAGCATTGTCGAGTGCGAAGATTCTTTCTATATTAAACCAGCGAGAATGATTTATACTCAGGTAAGTTAAACCTTATACTCATCATCATTAATGTTTGAATAATTATAAGTATTAATTATAATTAAGTAATAATTATATATAAAAGTAAAGATTGTCATGACAAAAGCATTGAAAAACTGAAGGACGTTGAGCCAAATGCTAACAAAGTGTTGTAAAAAAAAATTAATAACATCAGAAGGTCATATAGGAAGGAAATTAAGAAAATCAAAGCATTGGTCAAGTCAAGATCAGGAACTGATGAAATATATGAACCAAAGTTGTGGTATTTCAAATTATTAACTTCTGCCTGTTGCCAAATACCTTAACGTTGCTGTGAGCCTCTTCTCGTGGGATGAATTGCTGATCGCCTTACAGTACCATGTTTTTTATGATTGGTGTAACCAGTGATAACAGATTTAAATACATTTCTTCGTTCATTCTCAAATAGTTGTGCAAATCTTTAGGTACTAACTTCAATTCTGAGATCAGTTCACATGGGAATGCGATCTTCTTTATCTTTTAATCCACTCTTTACACCATAGACTTCTACCCACATGTTTTTCCCATGAGTTTTAATACAGTTTGTTGCCAATAAATGTCTGAGAGCGTTCGGTACGTCGTCGTCATCAGTTGTTATGGCTGACTGACTGACTGAGAGATTTTCCTCCTCGTGTGGGAGATGGGAAATTCTGAATGTTCTCAAGGCCAGACCTGCACAGTTATTCCTCAAAGGATTTCCTTAACGTGTGTATGCCCCTAAGTAGGGTGCGACTATGCAAATGTGAGCGAGGGAGAATATGTGGCGAGAAGAGGCGAGATGCGATAAATATCAAACCCTGTCAGATGTTCAAGAATCAGAAATTCGCTCTCATCAGTGAGATTTCTAGCTTCTCACTTGTGCATGATTCTCCTTTGCAAGAACTATATCACTTGCAACCTCTCACTTGCTACTAAATTCTCATCTGCATAGTTGTATCCTTAAAGAATAATCTCTTCTTTTAAATCTGTTATTTAAAATTGTAATTAAAACATTTCTGTTATTGAAAAACATTATTTTTAAAGGCATTATACTCAAAAATAATAATAGAGTAAAGATCCACTATTAATTTTTTCTTTTTAGAATAAACACTTTCACTGATTGAATCAGTGAAACTAATTAAATTCATATATGGCGATGGTAGAACTGATCCAAGTAGCATTCTCATCATTTCGAGAAAACGAGGGAAACCCGTTTGTGTTTGTTTTAAGGAAACAGGTCATTTTTTATGGTTTAATCATTAATGAAATGTTGAATGATATGTTAGAATAAATAAAAACAATGTTTTATTGAAATATTTTTATTGGAAGATACTAATATTTTGGTTTTTGCATTGAACAAATCACTTGGATCACTTTGATGGGAGATTGTGACTTTCTTACAGAAGATGGTGGTTTTTGCACTTGAATCAATGTGGCAAGCAAATTTACATTTTCTCCCATGCATCTGTGTGAAAATCTGTAATAAAATGTCACTTGGATCAGTATGGTTCTACTGTCCCCATATACAGTAATACCCCGAACTTACGTGACAGGTTGGACCGAGCGATAACCACGTAAGTAGAATTTGCATATGTCGGGGTATAATTTCGCAATTTGTGTAAAATCCAAGTCGGATGTATGTAAGATAATAAATGTTCTCATTAATCTTATCTCATCTTTTGATTCTTCACGGTTACAAGAAATCACCACATAGTCTCTCTCGAGTCTCCATAGATATAACAAATACAGAAATAAATAACACAAAATAAATTGTAGCTATGCGTCGATTTCGCGCAACACATCCGAACATGTAAGCCGAACAATAGTGTGGGGGGAATGAGTAATCGAGAGTTGCGTGGCGCTCAAACAAAAGATGAATCGACGAGATTTGAAAATCATGTAACTCCGGGTTCGTGTAAGTCAGGGTAGCGTAAGTCGAGGTATTACTGTATATGTTAAAAACTGTGAAATGCAATCATAAGTTTTCCTAAATAAATATGCTACTAATCCAGTTTATTTTTAATCTTTAAAATATTTTTTTCAGTTTAATAATAGGTGTTTCACTTTACTGAAATTTTTGGTATGATAGATATATTTATTAAAGCTCTAGATCAGGAGTCAGCAACCTGTGGCACATGGGACGATTTTCAGTGGCACTCTGATTGAATAGAAACTTCGTAAAAATTATATTTTAATTATTAATTACTAGTGTTGTAACGAATAGTATATTCGGCCAGGTGCGTGACCGAATAGCCGAATATTCAGCCAAACTATTCGGCTCGATTATCGCACGTACGAAAATTGGGGTGCAAACCGCATTATGGCAAGGACCCCGCTCTCTATTGGCCCGCTGTCACCAGTGGTGTACCGTGGGTGTCAGCCGCTCGGGGCGGAGGAAAATTTCGTCCCCCCTTATTTAGGTATTTCATATTTCAATTTAAAAGAGCAAAATTCAGTTTTGTCACAGAACAAGCAATGAAATTCCGTGCTAGTGTAGCGACCAGTTTAAAATAGTTCTATTGGTTATTAGTGGTGTACATGAACGCGAATGAATCGTAGAAGTAAAAAAAGGTCAACAGGTTTCGCAGGATTTCCTCGGATTAAAAATTACTAGTTCACCCGGATGGCGAGCCGATTCCGAACTGTCCGGACGATAGCACTATCATAGGCACAATGCAAGTATAGATTGGGATGTTTCAAATTTTTACAAGATGTTATTATTATTATTTATTGTGCAATTTTGCCGCCCCTGCCGCCCCCACTACGGTACGCCACTGGCTGTCACTACGCTTCGCCAATCGCGTTAATTCTTGACAGTTGAAGCGGACAGACACGAGCGTCATGGCAGTATGTGATAAGTGATGGATAACAATGAAATGACCTACACGTGTAAATAACGGAGAAAGAACAGAGAAGGACCACGAAGTGAAAATGTGAAAATAAATATGAAATTGAGTCGATAACAATCGAACGAGTCGAAGCAGCTTATTGGCGCAAAATTAGCGGCCGTCAATGCCAAACAATTGTTGTCATAAACTTCGAGAAGCTAAATGCTTGTAATGAATGTCACTTAGCGTGCACGGGCGAAAGCCTGGGGCCGTTCGGGCTATCAAGCTGTTTCTCGAATCTGTGAAATCATAACTGTGACTTATATCGACGTCCTATCTGTCTCTTTTCTCCGTTATCACCAGGCTGAGTCACGTAATTGTAAAATGGGAACTCCACGACGGAAAAGTAACAAATCGAAAGTATCGTGAGCGCGTATTATGATGTATGCACAGGCATACATGGATTAGAGCGATAGAGGAAAGAGAAAGGGAAGAGCAAAGACGAGCGCTTAGAAAGAAGGATAGGCAGGGTCAGACCCTCAGATGTGCGAGGATTCTCCAACGATAGATGTGTACGTGTGCTGATCTTTGTAATTATAAATTGTGAATACATGTGACTAATATTATTTTCTGTTTTATTTTGTGCATGTTACAATTTATAAATGAATATAAATAAACAACACTAACTCTATAACATTAACTCTAAATACCAAAATGATTAATTTACTGTGTTTTTGTTATTTATTGCCCCTGTTTTTAGGTATTCGGTATTCGGCCGAATAGTGATTAAATATTCGGTATTCGGCCAAATAGTGAAAAATAGGCCAAATGCCGAATAGTAACCGAATATTCGTTACATCACTATTAATTACACACTTAAATGGAAGTCATAGTTCAGCGAAGGGTGTGATACATTAAAAATGAATCTCTTGTTTGTATATTTCTATTACAGCGCATGCATTTACATTCCATGTCACCATATACGTGTTTTGCAAGTGCTTCACATGTAAGAACATAATTCAATTAACAACTTAACTTCAAAATTATACATTTTTGAAGTCCATTATAACTAAACTAATTTTGATAACATATATAATAAACTTGGTAGAATCATTAAATATCTGAAGACAAAGTCATCCCAAAAAAGGAACCACCATTTATTATCTTCATATTCTAGACTATACATTCTTGGCGACTGACCTTTCTTTTTTGGGAGGACTTTGTCTTCAGATATTTAATTATAATTATTGCCATCGGACGAAAATTTACAAAAATATTGGTAGAATTATGTCGGCACTCTGAATAACACTATAACTTACATTCAGCACATCATCTCTGAAAGAAATTCTGACCCCTGCTCTAGNTTGCACTTCTAATAGAATCAAATAAATTTTTTCTGGATACTTCTGTTTGATTTTAAATCTGACTGCACTGATTAGTGTAAAAATTCTTTAAAACAATATGGCACAAGATATAAGTTTTCTTTTGATATTTTAAAGTTATGTCTGTTTTGATCTTTAAAGTTTAAGGATTAACTTACGAAAATAACATGGCAAAATGCAGTTTATACATATATCAACATATGTAAAGTTTTAAAATTCTTTATTAGGATAAGAGATAGGTCATAATCTTCCTGAGACACATTGCATATCAATATATGATGTATTATATATTTGCTGGTAATGATAAGTTTTAATTTATTCTTACTATGCTAATATATCAATCACATTCAAACAATATGACTAGTTAAAATTTAAAACAGTAAAATTAATGCTTGGAACATTATAAGTAGAGATGGTCAAATATTTTTTTAATTTGAATACTAACCAATTTCAAATATTTGAATACTCGAATACCCCAAATACTTTGCGAATTTAATCTTTATAGCTACTCTATATATATAATATATATAGCTAAAATTGACACAACACTTTTTTCAGTCAAGAAAAAACAGAAATGATGGTACTGGGAATCATCACAAAATTTTTGAACAAGTGGGGAATGGAAGCAAATTAATGGGGGTTGAGTTGCTTATCTACAAATTCTATTATTATTCACAAATCATTGATTTGTTGGTAATAAATCAGTGAATGATATGGAGAAACTTCCGTAGCAATCACTGCAGTTGCCAGCCATGAAGAATTTTCCAACAGAACTGTTGCTGTTTTTTTGAAACCATAGAACTCTACTTGTATACCTGTGTGCAACTTGTAGTTGTCTCCTTACTGTATCTGCATATGTCAATTGATTTTTATTCAAAATTAGACAATATTACACCACTCTTGCTTTGTGCTCTCCTTGAAAGGCACTGCCATTTTATCGGTTCATTGTCTTATGTTCTCACACATCAGCAGTGTTGTCAGTTGCCGTTATTGTTGCCTCTGGCTTTGATGTTTTGTGTGTCAAAATTACTATGCTAATACTTGGTCTCCTGAGTTTTAATGACACTTTTCCAGTTTTCTACTGAACATGCCTTGTAATTATGTAATGTTTTTTTAGATAATTTAATTCTTATATAATTAATAATTTAAATAACTGTTTATAATTATATTAGTTGAATTATTATAGACAACAGATGTTCGAATTTGATCTGAAACAGAGCAGTAAAGATGACGACGTATTTCATTTTATTGGTTATGTTCCTATTGATGGTCGACTATATGAACTTGATGGATTAAAAGATGGACCTATCGATCTCGGTAAGTACCATGCAATTTACACAATGCAAAGTGATATTGGAAATGAATATTGGTATTCTTTTAGGACTCATTCCTAGTTCTATTGATTGGATTGAAGTTGTTAGACCAGTCATTGAAAGACGGATCAAAAGGTAGAAATTTATGCTATCTCTATATGTATTTGAAAGGATGAAGCAAACATAAAATCAGTAAATTTAATTATATTATTTAATAATTTACAGGTATAATGAAGGCGAAATTCATTTTAATTTGATGGCAATTATAACAGACAGAAAAATGCTATACAAGAGAAAGTTAGAAGAGTTGAATAATCAATTAGATGTAAGTTACTTAATTCTTATAGAATTTTAAGGACATACAATTATGAAAAACATATTTTAATTTAACAATTTAATTGCAAACTGAGTCCTAAACTAAGAAAAATTTTGAAATTTTAACTTTCCATGAACAAAATTTATAATATCTTATTTCAAAAAATCTGAATCAATCATTCTAATGTAAATAAAAAAGCTATAAATAGTGAGATTTAACAAAATAAGTATGTCCATCAAGACTTTGAAATCTGTCACACTTGATGAATTTAATAGTCGATCCAATTGTCATGAACATACATTATAAATTGACATAACAGTATTTTTGGAGTTAATTATTCATATCATTCCATTTATGAGAAATTGAGTTTAAAATTTTGTCATAAAACTTACTAATTATTATTTGACATGGAAAGTGTTATCAGTAAATAAATAGACACTAATTGGCGATGGTAGAACCATACTGATCCAAGTGGCATTCTCATCATTTCGAGAAAATGAGGGAAATGCGTTTTTGTTTGTTTTAAGGAAACAGGTCATTTTTTATGGTTTAATCATTAATGAAATGTTGACTGATATGTTAGAATAAATAAAAAACAATGTTTTATTGAAATCTTTTTATTGGAAGATACTAATATTTTGGTTTCTGCATTGAACAAATCACTTGGATCACTTTGATGGGAGATTGTGACTTTCTTACAGAAGACGGTGGTTTTTGCACTTGGATCAATGTGGCATGCAAATTTACATTTTCTCCCATGTATCCATGATAAAATATGTAATAAAGGAAAAATGTCACTTGGATCAGTATGGTTCTACTATCCCCAATTATGGTCTATTTAGGGTCTATTTATTTAATTAAATATATTCTATTGAATTACCAAATCAAGTAGAAGAGTATCATTCATTGTGCAAGTTTGATAAAATCTGAAATTTCTATATTATTTTCAATTCCTGTGTTACAAAGAACAGTAAAAGTCTTATACTATTTTAAAATTAATGTAATTATTAAATACTTACTGTGTTTGTGTATGAAGTATCATAATATGCATTGAATTTGCAATTATAGTCACATCAAAGATAAATTTTTATATTTATATACTTATATACTAATTATTATAATAATTTGTGTTATAATTTTAGTTTCTAGAATAAATAAAACTTCAAAAATATATTAAAAAAAATTTTTTTAATGATTAATTTTGACTATCTTTGTTAGACCTTCTAATATTTTTCTTAGTTGATGAACTGAATTATAAATGATTTTCTATTGCCTTTTTTATCAAACTATGCAATGATAAAAATAATTTTATTAATATTTTTTAGTGCATAAAATACATGCTATTCTTTGTTTTGATATTTCATAATAATTTTAATTCGGATTTCTATTTTTGTAAAAATGCAAATTTCAATATTATAATAATTTCAAATATTGTGTGTCAAATGAAATTATTATTCTAACTAAAATTCTTATTCAGTCATACTAAAAACCAATTAACAATTACTAAAATTATATGAAATTTAATAATTGTTAATTAGTTTTTAGAGTGACTAAATAAGCAATAACTTCATCAAGTGATATTGTTAAATTATATAAAGATGAGAAGTAATAAAATGCTTGTGTTGTTACGGAGTGATGATCTGCATAAAATAAAATGGAAATTATGTAGTTTTTCTTATTGATTTATCCTCAACAATAGTAACTATGAAAAGTATTTTGTTTATAGGATGATGAATGTATTAGATTGTAAAAATAAAAACTTAAAAATATTTTAAGTCTGACATTCAGTCTTAATATTTTCTTCGGATTGTCATTCAGAATATTCAGCCAGTATCAAAATTTTTAATTTACAATATGTTTCCAAACTCCATACATAATAATTTAATGGGAGATAAGGAATACAAGACATATTTAACTGATGTTGGTGTATCTGATACATAAATGAATGGAAACAAATGTAAGCAACAGGTGGTCAAAATGCAACCAACAACATCAAAACATTGATTGCTGCTGATTTTCAGCAATTATTGTAATGCAGTCTTTCCTCTTGGCAATGGGAGTCTTATACACACAGGGCTGTTACATGTAATCTGTCTGCTTTAAGAATGCCTATCTAGACAATTGCAGTTCTGTCAGTGTCCTCCAGTACAGAAGAATGATGTATGAAGTATTATATACAGTGGTACCTCAGGTTACGAACGCCCCAGCATACGAAATTTTCAGGATACGACATGAAATTCGCACAAATTTTTGCTCCACGATACGAACAAAAACTCACCATACCATGTTACATTAGTTCGCATTTTTCATTTGTTTTCTTACTACAGTTTTTTTTTTAATGTATTACTTGGCTTTAATTTGAGTATGTTTTTCGCGTTGGAACGAATTATTTGGTTTTACATGTAATCGTATGGGAAAAGATGATCCACCTTACGACATTTTCATGATACGATTTCAGTTTCCGAACGGATTAATTTCTTATCCTGAGGTACCACTGTATAATTTAATTTTCTATTTTCAAATTGTTCATTTTATATTGTATTTATATAATACTATATGTCAAAAATTTCTCAAACTCTCTATTTTTTCAGATTTTTTTTTTTTGTATAAATATAGAATTATTTAAATGGAATATTAAAAAATATTTAGATACTTAAGATAAAGCAATATATTAGGTTTATAGACTCTCACCTAAACATCAAATTTATGGTAAAACACCCAAATTCAACATTCAAATGTTTTTGTCCACTCGTTAATTGGTCTTCATCAGGAAAAGTCAAACAAAAATAACTGTTCTATTTACTGAGGATGCAAGAGCACCTGGAGTTTACCGCATCCCACTACAGGATGACAGGTTCAACAGGACACTAACATACATTGGTTTCACATACAGATCATTACAAGCCCGGTTACGAGATCACAAGTATGACGTAACAAAAAGAAACCTCCCAAAATATATTTGGGAGACTATCTGATTTGTGAATAAGAGAGTAAATTGATTATTTTTCATTTTCTAAGTAAGATATAGCCTAGTTTTCTAGTTTTAATTTATTTTGTTTTTGAATAGTTCTCCCACAAGTTCAGAATGAATTTATTTTTTTGTTTTACTATTATTTTAGTTAATACAAAATAAATATATACAACAACTTTAACTGATATGTTGTATGATTTTTTTTATGTTTCTCCCTGCATCATATTGGTTCAAGTATGGTTAAATAAATAAAACAATATAATTTTCTGAAATTAAAAAAATAAAAGTGATTTAATAAAATTTTAGAATGAAGAGACTTTCTGTGTAGAGTCAAATAAAGTAGCTTTGAAAAAAAATACAACTTATATATAGTAATTTACTCTTACTTGCTAAATCCATTGTTAATGATGCAGGATAAATAACAAGAAAAAAAGGAGTTCCCTTGTAGACTGAAATTTATAAGTCTTTACCAACTGCATTTTTCTCAAAATCTGAGTGTTGTTTCAGAATTTAAACGGCTTTCAAATGACAATTTTAACTCATCTTATAAACTATGTAGAAAAATGCAATAAATGTTTCCTATTGTGGCACAAGGCTTGGTACCATTCTCATAGAATGTGTTTGGTTGCTTATGCAGTCACAGTCAAACTGCCATCTTAATGTTGTCATCATTTTCAAAACATTCACCTGCTAACTGTATGGCAGATGGAAAATGGCCTGATCTGGTCATCCTAGATGCTCATCATTCCACTTCTGAACTTCTCACACCTTGCCACGATAGACAGTTGTCCCCCATAAAAAGCATTCATTTCTTGATAAATTTTGCTTGTATTCTTGCCAGATGCTCACAATAATCAAATTACACTTCTATGTTCCTCCAGCATGGAAATTGACAGAATACCTGCCATTTTCAAACTCTCATATATCCATTGCATCTCACCAGACAACATTGGAAACTGCTGAGGCAACACAGAAGAAACTGCCCTCTCATGTGTATATTTTGGAATTGTAATTTTTGATTTTCTTTTGCAATTTAGTGTATAAATGATATAATAATGCTACTATAAAAATAGTAAACAAATCAGATTCATCAAAGTAAATGAATTTTACATTTAAAACATAAATCGAGGAGGATTCTTGTAAACAGTTTTGACTTTTAATGAACTACCTTACCAAAATAGAAAAAGATTTCACTTTTAATAGTTCTAAAATAATAAATATACAAGATTACTTAAATTTTTTTATAGGCTAATGGAATGGAGACAGATGAAATTCAGTCAGAAATCAGCAAATTACATATGCTGATTGCAGAAGAAGATGCAAAAATGAAGAAATATAAGGTAAATTAACTTTTACAAAATTCATCATCAGATGATTTAATTAGTAGAATACATTAAGCTGAAAACAAAAATATTTATCTTATATAAACAACTCATAAAAATTGTCTTTTAACTGTTGTTTTTAAACAAATTATAACATTAGAAAAAACTTTAAAAATTAATAACTATATATCCTATATTAGGCTAATATGGTTTTTTATATTGTGTGTTTAGGTGAAATGTTTTATAGTAATTAAAATAATAATAAAAATTTACACAAAATATGCACTATTTAATGTATTCCCTGGTAGTGCTTATGCAGAGCCATCTGCACATTGTGCTAATAAATAATAATAATAAAAATATTTAATGTATTCTGGCTCATCATTATTTCTTCAAAAAAACAATCATTTTTATCTTCTCTTTATTTGAATGAATAAATAAACAATGATACTATATTTGCAATAAATATAAAAGAATTTGAGTTTATTGCGTTAAATATTATTTTGAGTTAGTTGGAACTTTTAATCATTTTGGCAAGTGTGTGTATATATAACAGTGAATGATCAAAGTAACATGACAATGACATTGTTCACTAAATGTCTTGTATTTTTCATGTGAGTATTGTCAGCAGTGGCTGGGCATTGACACAAATAATAGTCGAATTATCGGTCATTGTTCAATATCAATATAAAATGTTTTTTTTTTATTTTTTTTGGAGCATTACACACCTATGGTTAAGGACANATTGACACAGATAATAGTCGAATTATCGGTCATTGTTCAATATCAATATAAAATGTTTTTTTTTTATTTTTTTTGGAGCATTACACACCTATGGTTAAGGACATTTTTTAAGTTATGTAACACAGGCAATACACAATATATTTTTGGTGACTTCCTGCTTCCCAACATTTAAAACTGAATGAATTTCTTACTCCTGGATAAGATGGCATAGGCTTATGTGATAAATAAATAGTCTACTGTATATTAATAAAATAGATTATAACTTTGTTTTGATTTTTGCTTTCCAATTTGGCAGTTGTTAAAGCAGACTAAATCACTTTCACTCAGTTGTAGGGGAAGATGTGCAGAACAGGAAAAGTAGTGCTAATAAACAGTTAATTATGAGGGTGGTTTTTTCAACTTCTGATGGTCCATAGAAAAAAGACAAGAGTAAATAACAAAATGAATTTATTACCAAAAGTTAGGTACAAACATGGTGACATTTTGACATAATCACCTTGAAGATTGAGGCATTTGTCATATCTGCGGACGAGCTTTTCCATCCCCTCTTCATAAAATGTTGCGACCAGTGAATGGAGATGGCCTTAACGACATTGTTTTGAAAATTGTCATTAGTCTCAAACCTCTGCCCTCCTAGCCACATTTGGGAAAGAGGTGGAAGTCTTCACATATTAAAAAGTTTCAAGCTGGGTGGAAGTCTTTACCACCTTTAAACATCCAGCGTATAGCCCCGCTTTGGCGTTGAGAGACTTCCACCTCTTTCCTGAACAGAAAAAGTGGCTAGGAGGGCAGAGGTTCGAAACTAATGACGATCTTCAAAACAATGTTAAGGCCCAGCTCAAGTCACTGAAAAACTCGTCCACTGATATGACAAATGCCTCAATCTGCAGGGTGATTATGTCGAAAAATAACCATGTTTGTACCTAACTTTTGGTAATAAATTCATTTTTTATTTACTCTTGTTTTTTTTCTATGGACCATAGGAGGTTGAAAAAACAGCCTACGTATTTTCAGCTGTTTTGAGAAGTATAATTAGTATAATTATAACACGTATCTACAATAGACCAAAAAGCCATTTTTTAAAGTAAAATATAAAATTATCTTTAGAAATAAAATGCTGATATTTTCTGTTTACATTTATAAAAAAAGATTTTATAGAACAAAAACTATTGTTAGTTAATTAGCATTTAAGAATGAATAAATATTAATATCATATATACAGAAAATAATCTAAGAAATTATCAATATAAACAATTAAATTATGATTTAAAAAAAGCATTAATTTTCAGTTGATTTGATTTTCATCAGAATCTAATTATTTAATTCAAATGACATGAATTTCATTCAGTTGTATCTGAATTAAATTCATTGTGTGATTAAAACAATTTTGTATAAGTTTCGTATTTTATAAGACTCTTGTGTTTTTACTAATTCTACTTCAGTAAACAACTGATGATAATTAACAAGTTGGAAGGACTATACACTACATTGAATGCAACGGCTGCTATGACAGTTCACATCATTAACCAAGCAGCACTGGGACATTGTTTTAATGTAGTGACATTATTGTCTGCTAGAAAGGTGATTGATGTTCCTGTTCTGTCTGTTCACATCATTGCCAAACACAATATGTAGATGTCATGAATGACTGGCTATTCATTTTGTATGTCATTGGCCATAACATATATATATATACACAATAATCCTCAGCATTATCAATAGGTTCTTGGAAACTGTGATATTAAGCAAAATGACATATAACAAAACCAATTTTAATATAGGCTAAATGGTATAAATAAGATAGAAAATTAACCAAATTATTTGATCATATTTGCAACCTCCAGCATTTATTTCCGATTTTATAGAATCAGTTTTATGTTTTATAAGGAAAATTCAACAATAATAATTGTAAATGATTACAAATGTACTTGTACCTGTCCTCAACATTATAATGAAATGATGTTAAGCAAGGATTTTGTATAAATACAAAGGGGACTTGCTATATACAAGTATCCCAAATACAATATGACTAAGTCTCTCTCTCAAATACAGTTTTGGAAATCCTCTGCACAAAATTCAGAATTTTTCTTTAAGTAAGCATGCATGCATGTCTCAAATTTGCCCATGGAGTTTAGAATATTGAAATTTCAAATTATTTTGTGCTTTTTGTCAGGTTTACTTTAATGAAAACTGATAGGACAAGGAAGAAACAAATTGTACTAACTTTCCTATTAACCAGGTGTCATTGTCATTTCTTTCATGCTAGCCTTTAAGACACTATAAAAAAATCTATAAAAAGAAAGCACAGTGTGACAATCTTTGTATTTAGTTAAGTGTTATTAACCTCTTTTTTTAACCATAGGTATTACCTATGAATGATTATTTCATAAAAATGAAGAATGAAATACAGTGGTATCTTTATATTCGAACACAAATTCTGGAAAAAAGTCACTTGGTACTCAACTGAGCAAATGTGACTCGCTAGAACAAATTTTTGATTAACAACAAATTTTTATTTTATCATAAATTTTTATGGATGGCAAAAACTAAAAAAATATGAAAATGTTGCCAGTACTTCTGATTGAGATCAACAAAAAAGCTGAAATGATGACAATACTTTGTAAAAGGAAAGTGTCCTGGTTTAAATAAAATTAATATTAATGCTTAATACAATACTTTGATTGATTATTTTTAATTAATTGCTCATAGGAATAATTTATTTCCATTGTTTCGTATACCACAGATTTGCATAATATGGCACTTTTCAGAACATAACTACCATGTTATATGAGGGATATCTGTAATTGCACGCATATTTTTGGAATTCAATGGCAAGATATTAAGTTCAGCTCATAAAACTTATATTACAATTCTTAAGCTACCACCCAAGCTTATTTCATCATCCTATCCTTGTTTCAATTACCTTGAAATGAAAATGATGCTGTAATGTTATATATAATCTGAACCATGCAAAATAAGTTTTGATTAATGTAAACGATTATTAGATATTAAAATTTATGAAATGGCTTTAACAAGAAGCAGATGTTATGTTTTTAATCAAAAGTTTTTTTTTTTTTAGATTTACAAAATTTTTTAATGTGAAAGTTTGTTTTGTAATGATGTGTTCTACTCAAATAACACAAAAGAATTTTTCATATTTCTGAAGATCCATAATCTCCTTGTTATTTATATTAACAAAAAATTAAACCGTGTTAACTAAGATATATTTGAGTTTGTTGTTTACCAGATTGGATTTATTTTTATTCTAATGATTATTACAACTTGGATAATGTTAATATTTCTAATTTCAGATTGAGAATGTAAGACGGAAACATAATTACTTACCATTAATAATGGAACTATTGAAAGTACTTGCAGAGGAAGGAAAGTTACAAGTCCTCGTCGAAAAGGTATTTATTTTATTTTATGGTAAATTCAATTGAAAATCATACGAAAACATTTTTTATAATAAAAGACATCTTATAAAATTTCAGGCAAAAGAGAAAGCAATTGAAAAACAAGAAAAAAGCAAAGAAAAGGTCAAATAAAATGTTTCATATTTTCTCTCATGATGTGGAAATATTTCAGAAATAAAATCTCATTGTTTCATTCAACATTCACAATTTTGACATTTATTGTTATATAAATTATTTCTAGTACAAATTCTATGTTATCACAGCAATTTTACACAAAGATATACAATGCCGTTACAGAAGAGTAAAATTTGATATTAATTTTACAATGCAAAATATGCTATTGGTTTATTAAAAAATAATTCAAATTAACAAAACAAAACTTTTCAATATTTTGATTCCTTAACATTTTCTGAAGTGAGAAATTAAACCAGGAATGTATTTTATATTAATAGCTGCAGTTGGAACATATAATTTAAGAATTTTGTTTTTTATAAATAACACAACTCTTACATTGAAAGTTGCCTTAAGAATCACCAAATAATGTTTATCTTTGATTTTTAATTATTGGTGAGTGTTTGTTCCCATACATCATAGAAAAATAAAAATTATAAATATGATAATGCTACTGTATTTCATATTAGTAGAATTGGAATAAAACAGAATATTTATAGAAGTAAAGAGTTTTCTGCAGAAGTTAGAAAATTCCTATTTCTTATAAATTGTTGCATTAATCATCATAGCTGATGTATTTTAGTTGCCAAACGACAATATTGAGAATATCTTGTAATGAATAACCTGCATCGAAATATCACAATATTCAATCCACGATATGATATTTTCATTGGTCAGATGTTGAAATAAATCAAAAATTGTGCCAGTACCTATGACAAAGTTTCAAAAATGGTAGCATAATTTACATTACAACTCGATTAATTCAAAATAAATTAAAGTAATTTACTGAATATTACAAAAACAAACATATATTTTAGGTAAAAATGTATAAAAAAATTATATATAATCAATAAGTAGATAGATACTCTTAAGTTTAAAATCTTAGCATAAATTGCATTTTGCTTTCTTGGATATTTTTATTATACATAATTCTAAGTGATAAACTTTTATATTAAAAACAAGTGACTAGATATAATGAATTTAAAAGCATTTTTGTTTTTAACTGCTTTATATAATAAATAAAAATACTTGTATGTTATGGAATGTATTTTCCATGGTTGTCAAAATTTGACAAATTATTTTACGGATACTCATATAATATTTAAAACAAAAACTTCTTAAAGTGAAATTGTGCTTATTTAAAAAATTAGTCCTGCTAATATATATATATATATATATAAATCAAATCTAAAAAAAAGATATTATACATGATGTACAAAACAACTCGTGAGGTAGATAGCAAAAACTTGATCTGTATACTTATGATAATGATTTAATTAGATATTTAATTAAATATGCTAATTAACTGCTCTCGCACCTTTCTGACATAACTTGCAGAACTTGATCGAATTTAGTATATCTTTCGGCTGCAGCAACATTAGCACCTTTACTTCCCCATAAAAACTTCAGATGGAATTCTGTTTTGAACATATCTAAAATGGAATTGTCAAACTTAACGTTATCCAATACTATTTCTCCGTTCCTCCTGTATGTTGTGCATTGTTGTACAAATGTTCGTCCCAACTCTAGATGTAGTAAGAGCAGTTGAAGTCCGTAATCCGAAGCACTCTGTTCCCATTGTAGCCCGAGAGACAGAATGTTAACGGTTTTTTTACCGCTTGGTTCTACTTGTGGTTCCGCATTTAATTCGTTATTTTCTATTACTTCTATATGCCGCTGTAATATTGTTATCAGCGATAACAGATATGGAATACAAGTGTTGGGAGCTTGCGGATTGGAGCATTCTTGCATTGACTTAAGCGTAGGTCGTAATTTTGTTTCATAAGTGAATGCATTTTCGGTGAAGTTTTGACGAACCGTTAGCCACGTTGACCTCAAGCGATCTATCTATAAAAGTATAAAATTGAACAGAATTAAAAATATATATATATTTAAAATTCCATTAAAAATTTATTTTCAATATTACCTGTTGTAAAGCCAAACCTTGCATGATGGCTGTAAATCCATATAAATTTCCTAGTGCAGTTTTTGTTTCTATAGCTATTTGAATCCATTTATGTACCAGATTTGCTCGTTCTTCTTCATTGCTACAGGTGAGTATTGTCACTGCTACAAAGTATCTCAAACAGTGATTCCTATAAAATTAAGTATTTAAACACACAACATTTATTAAAATACTTTAATAATTTAAAGATATTACCTTTCCATCAAATCCATTCGTAATTGTTTTCCTTGTGGCAAAGTAATTAGTTCAAGTCCCGATACCACACCTAAACCAAAATCAAAATCCGTGCTATTTTTCAACATATCTAAATCAATTCTAGTCAAGTGATTTGCTAGTATTCTTGGACCATTTTCTAATAACAGACGTCTAATCTGCAACAATGTAGATGATTCTAGAGGTTTGTTTTCTGTTTGAAGTAATGTGGTTGCAAATTTATTTAAGTCGTAACAAGACGGGGGATTTAAATTTGGAGTTGACATATCTGTTATGTTGATATTTGGTGAATGGCCGTTACTTGGAGCATTGCCATCTTTATAAATGGGTTCTGTGTATACGTGTTGGTTAGGTAGTCTGCTAGGTTTGGGTGGAGGGCCATCTCGCTCTTGGGTGGGACTAAGCTGAGGATCGCTACCAATTCTTGCCATTCCTTTCCATCCTGCAGGTTGATGATGTGGCCGCAGAGTTGCAAATCCTGCAACGGAAGAAGTGGCCGTTTTGTTAAAGGTGCCGGGATGAGATTCTGCCGACAAACTTCCGTCCTCGCAGGGTTGCGAATGTCTTCTTGCCAAACACGGACTTCGATCGGCTTCTCTGATATCTGTTTCGGCAGCCAGTGCAGCATAATGGAGTTGACACTGCAATCCGTATCTGCTAGCATAATATGTAAGTGGCATTGTACGGTTTACGGGACAATTTATAATAGCTCCAGAAGCGGCCGACACTGCTCTCTTATTACCTACATAATAAGTTACTAGATCAGGTACTGTATCAAAACTGTCTTCTTCAAACTGATACTGTACTTTCTCGTAGACTGTAAAGGGTTGGAAAACAACCTAAAAAATAAATTTTGAATGAGTTAAGGATGGCATTTGATTGGAAAATGTTTAATAATTAAAATTTAAGCAAATTTATAACACATTTCTATTTATAAAAACTATTTCCTTAAGTTGAAAATTAGCAAAATATTTTTTTTAATTTATTGATATGAAAATCAAGATAGTCTATTATAGAAGTTATGAAAACACAGCAAACATAATATTTTCATGATAAAATTTTGCTCTGTAAAAAAATTCAAACTCTCTGAAGGTATGGAGGACTCTTATAGAAGGAAGAATATATAGTACATTTTTTTAATGTTTTAATTTTGATATTATTTGATGATACACTGTTCTAAATGCTGCTACTTTTCTACAGGTGATCTTATATTATGATTAATAATATACTATTTATAACAATCATTGGTGCACATTACATATTCCAGTAATGTGTTTTTTGATCTCACTGGGCTGTTGCAGCAGTTGGTAATTTAAAATTTTACAACAATAGTAAATTGTGAAAAAACTGAATGCCAAGAGACACAAAACCTTTGAAATATCAAAATTTTGCAGAAAATACATCATTTACTTATCAATTCAATATTCAAATGCAAAAATGAATTTAGTACAATTTTACTTTTGTTTCGTTTATCACATAGTATATGCAGTAAAATAAAGGGCTATAAAGTTTATAATATACTTTCGAAATTTGTCCAAAATCAATTGATAAAGCAAAACACCGTGCGAAAGTAATAACAAGAACTGAAAAAAAAAAAATCTCAAAGTTTGCAGATACTGAAGATGTGACATTGCAAAGTTCCTAAAAATTTGTGAGCATAAAATGTTTTGAAAATTGCCCATGCAAAAATGAGTACAAATATAATGGGATATTTTTCATATTCTATTTCTTCATTATGCAAGCCAAGAATAAAACTTGCTTTGAAAAACAGTCAGGAGAAAATGATTGACTAGAATGTGCAAGAGAATAATTCTTTATATATGTCATTTAATTGAAATAAACATGAACGTAAACATTATAACTCAGTTTTTGTCTTCTACACTTTCTTCCTCAAAGTCAGTAAGAGGCCCTTCTTTTTTTTTCAAAGCCCATCATGGGGGTAGTCAGGCAGTGTGAGGAATGGGACTCGACGTATCCACAACAGATCCCCAAAAAATTCCCGGGGTTTCTCGACTCATCTGGATTTATTCCTAAGTCTCCAGAATGGTAAATTGACACTGTTGCTCAGCAAACCAGTCATATTCCTGTTTAATTTAGTGAGATTGTTAAACTCCACCATATCAAATAGATTCTCACTGGCCATACTTATACTAAAGTAAAAGAATATATCCAAAGATAATCCAGTAATAGTCACCACTGTCTAAGAATATTTTTATTTTTTCAACTTAATTATCATCATAAGTCAAGTAAGATCACCTTTTTATGAAGTTTAGATTGTAATATATTAAATATTGAGTAATACAATATTGTGATAATCACTGACTGAGACGTTTAATTGATGTGTATTTTAACTCTCCATCTAGATACACAGTAAGATAGTGAATTATGCCAAATTCCATTACTATTTGGAAATTGTAATATTGATCTTCTATTATATTGCAAAATTACTTTGGGCTATGACAAAACTGTCTGTATTTGATAACCCAAATTATTTTTCTTTCTTTTAGCATTGTGTTCTTCTATTAAGAATTTCAATTATAGTCACAAAATGGGTAAATTTAAATAAATTTAGATTATTGATATGCAGTGATGATTATAGGAATCAATTTTATTGTAATCAAAGGTGGGAAAAATATATACAATTCACTAAAGTTCTGTATATACAGTAGAGCATCAATTATCCAAATACCAATCAACCGAAAGCATTCCAGTCGGCAAATTCAAATTTCTGCTAGGGCTGTGGCATTGCAGCACTCTTCCCCTCCCTGCCAAACTGAACTGTAGGCCTAGTTTAATGTATTACATTATATAAGGCAGTGGTCCCCAACCCCCGATCAAATGGTACCAGGCTGCCCAAGGAACATTAAATTATTTCCATTTTATTTACTATGGTGTATTTCCTAAGGTTTGTGCAACTTTTAATGGACGACAGAACAACAGAATAAACTGGACATAAGAAACACACTTCGGGTGTCATTGTCTCCTATTAACCCCAGAGGGAACCGTCTCGTTGCAATGAAACAAGCTCAGGGTTCTCATTGATTTAGCGTTCTAGTGAGTTAAAATGTTAAATCACATTATATTCATTTTTTGGTGTAACTGTATTTTATTTTGAAGGCATGTTTAAATACAATTAAATTAAAATTATTAAATTAAATCAATCTAAAATATAAACAATCAACGTCCCCCTTCAGTGGGCCGCGGTAAAATATCAAACGTTGACCGGTCCGCGGCGATAAAAAGGTTAGGGACCGCTGACCTAGATGACCTATTCTATTGGATATTGGAGGTGTATGTGAATAGAATCGAACAAGCAAAATAAAAAAAAGGTCGAAAGGTTGTGCACGGTATCACCAGGTAAAATTAATAGTTCATTCGGATGGTGAGTCGATTCTCGGACCATCCGGATGGTAACACTATTCCCCGTGCTCATTTCAATCTGTCCGAATCGTAGTAGCGACGATAATACGAAGTAAAATGGTTCAAATTTTTACAAGATGATATTATTTATTGTGAAATTTTGTCGCCCCCACTACGCTACGCCATTATTTAGCCTATGGTAGAATTAGTTTCGTTAAAACATCGTTTCACTAGGTTCTTGGAAACTGCGGCATTCAAGTAAGGACATATTGAAATGTTACACAGTAAATATTCCTGTTTAAGACATTTTCCGCATCTAATAGTCATATTCTATGTTTAACTCGAGATGCTGAATACGATTTTAATCGCGAGTTCAGTTAATGCGAAGTGAATATCGATTTCAAGTCTGAAATCACGATTTAACTGGTGGCCATCGGCGCAATATAAATCACCATGCATTAATTAACATATAATTCAAGTTAATTCTCGAATTACAGCTTAACATTTGTTCTATTTGAATTCTTCGGAAAATGTACTTTCGATTTTTATAACAATTCGTGCCCATCTATAT